CCAGCACATGACCAGCATAAACCAGCAAAAGGACCAGCTTAAACCAGCAAAGGACCAGTTTAAACCCAGTTTAAACCAGCAAAGGACCAGCATAAACCAGCAAAGGACCAGCTTAAACCAGCATCCCTGCGTCAAAACATACCTAACCAGCATATGCTGTTTTTTTCAACAGGGTAAGCTCTTAAACTAACAGTTAAATGGACAGTTCATCCAAAAAAGATAATTCTGCATGACTTTCTTTATTCTGCAGAACACCAACGATATTTTGTCGATATAATGAAAGCCAGTGGGGTCTAATGTTGTTTTGGACTCCATAGAGTGCAACAGTTGGGTTCCAGAAGTAAAAACTCCATTCATTTTCTCCATAGGGGAAACTGATTTTTAACTATAACTTATAAACCTTTAAAGACAGAACTGTTGTGAGCTTTGAGGTTAATCGATAATATACATTTTGTTGAAGCCATCTGTTCACATTATTTCAACTCATTTTTAGAATAATTATATTTTTATGGTGAAAAGCTGCATGAATCTGATACAAAAAATTCCACTGCAGAGGATGTAATCAGTTCAATAAACGTAAAATATATTGTTTCTGTAGATATAATCTAAAACTTTAAATGGATAGTTTTAAATTTCACCATCAATTTTAATTTGATTGTCACTTCCAATGCTTCATGGGATTGTAGTTCTTTTCCTCACAAAAGCTGTTAAGTACAGTCTTGTGTCTTTGTCTTTTTGACTGATTTCCCCATATTTTTTGCTTCCAATAAAAGTTTGAAGCAAAATACTTCCGGAACTAACTCTGGTGAAAAAGTGGGCGGGCACTAATGTACTTAAATGACTTTCATTGGATTGTCGAAAACAGCTGAAACATTCTAAATATCTTCTTTTGAGTACCACAGAAGAACTAAAGCCATACACTAAAAGAATTTTCATTTTTCATTTTCCCTTTAACAGTAAACCATTTCCAGGTTTAGAAATAATAGATAGAAAATGTACTGTGGAACCTAGGGGAGACTGTTTTAATTTGACCTGAATGAAAACAAGCCTGTGAGGGATAGACGTACACTCCATTTCATTTGTGTCAAATGTAATATGCCGTCTACTCTGACTAAGATCCATAAGTAATAACAACAGGCTGGTGATTTCACTGTGGGATGAGATAAGCTTCCCTTATGGATATTTTGTGCAGAACACTTTGGCTTGATATCCATTTAAGTGCTTTAAATAAAATCCATGCACGTCTAGTCAGGCAAATCTGCCCATGGACAAAGTATTTAGCATTTTTTAAAGTGCAAAGAATTAGTATGTCGAAGCCTAAGATGAGCATATAAATAAAATCGGCCTGCTCCATATACAAGCACAGTGCAGGAGCTCCAATGATCCTTCACTACATTTCCTTCATTGTAACACAAGTACCATATTGCATATAATATTCAACAGTTCTTTGACCCTTAACCTCTGATCCATGGACTTTGTTTATTTGGCACAGATTCAGAAGGTCTGGGTTTTGGTCCAGTACTGTATATCAGGTTGGAGTTGGGAATGGGAATTTGTGCAGTTTCAGGCTGTCCGTTGATGCATTGGCATGGGCTCACCAGCGCCCACTCACACTGACAATGTCTGTGTGGAACTGGCGTGGCAGTCGACCGCTGGCGCCCCCTTCTAGGAATGATGAGCGGATGTTGGGCGGCTCAAAGAGCTTCGTTCGGTTCTTGTTCAGCTCTGTCAAAACAAAAAGAGGGCTTAAATATCGCATACATTCATGTTAACATCACAGTAAAATGGAAGTAGTGAAAGATCTCTTCTTCCATATTGCGAATTAAAAGGTCAAAACATTTTTAAAATACGAAACAAATGCATGTATGAATCAACCGCTCCTTATCTAAGATTATACCAAACTACTGATATTGATTTGGAAACCTGAAACCTTCCATCGAGTTAGCAGTTCCATCGTCCTGAAATCAGTGGATATTTTGAAGCTCAAGATATTTTCATGTTCTACGACATAAAATACATCAGTCCCCCTTGTGATTTTCGTACCTTTTTTTTTGTTACTTTTTCTTGAAAAAGGCGGTTGCTAACAAGTGGCTAAATGGGACTAAAGAGGTTGTCAGGGACATAAATGTCTCATGCCAAACTCATCTTCTCACTAGTCGACTTTTACAGCCTCACTGGGGAAATGTTTTTAAATAAAGACTAAAAGAGTTGTTTTAAGCTTAATGGTGGTTACGTTGAAGTCATGTGACGGTGGTGTAGATCATTTATAGCCTACATCTAGCTTTTTACCTCTGGTATTGTATTTAGGCTTCAAAAATTCATAAAAGTTGTGTTAATTTGAGGATCTCATCATGATGAAAAAAATGTGTTCGAATAATGAAAGTTGGACAAAAATTCATCACGGAGATGTCTATTTGACGTAGGGCTGTCAAAATTGCTGAAAAACTAAATTCGAATTTTGTACTTAAATATGATCAAAATTCGAATTATATTCGAATTTAAAATGCATAATTTCAGTTAGGGTGAAGAAAAGATTTTGGCTTTTCTCCTGAGGCCACAAGAGGGCGCATCAAGCAAAATATTACTAATGCACGTTTATTCAAAGTGAATATTCGAAATTCGTATTTGACGTCTGCATTTAAATCTGCAAGACGTATTTTTTAGTGTTTGCTCATCTGCAATACGTCTTTAGGACATTTCCTATCAGATGTCAAATAGACGTTTAGAAGATGTCTTTCAGATGTTTATGATTTAGAATGTATGTAAAACTGACATCTTAAAGATGTCCATCAGATGTTTGTACACAGCAGACGCTTTCCTGATGAAGCGATCTTTAACAGACCTCTTGCAGACGTACGTGTGCTATCTGGGAAGCGGATACAACATAAAAATACACAATACATACAAATATTGGCTATAGCAATGCATTTTTAAATATTTTTGAAGAATGGATGAAATTTCAAAATTTTTCTCATCTCATTTGGATTTTTTCACTCAGCTTGTTGCATTCTCCTGCAGTGTGCCTTAAAAATTGGTCTAAATAAGGTATACTGCCTTAAAATGCTGCCTATGTTGACAGCTCACTAGTTTTTTGACAGCTCAGTCTCAGTCTAGGTGGCATTGACAATTCAAATCTTCCCTTTTCCTTCTGTAGAGAACAAAAGGAGGACATTTCTCTCTGGGACCAAACTTGCATCAGCCCAGATTACAGTAAATTGTGTCCGAGGTCAGTCAGAGACATAAACACAGGCCTGCGGTCATTTCCTGTCTTCCTCATACCTCTACTCTTAGAATCCCATCCGCACCATGATTTCATTTTTAACAGTGAAAGGTCTACATCAACCTCAGGCATTGTGTTTTATTCTCCAACCACAGGGCTGATAAAACCGGAACAATGTTTTTGCTTTAGTAAATATCCTTGCCAGACTGCAGGAAGTCATTATGGTTATCGAGCAGTGGGTGGTCGAAATATATCACAGATGTTTGAGATGTCTAATGGCAAAGTTGTCACTTCCACTTGCTGTCATGTGGACAGTCAGTCAACCCTGGCTGGTTATGTAAGTGGAAAGCCAAATCCAATTTCGTCTCGGACACCTCAATAAATCATAATCATAATCCCAAAACCCTGCAGCTGTCCAAATTACTCAAAGCTATTAAAAAGGAAAATCTTGCATGGCATGTTGTGTCCATCTGCTATCATGGTTATTGTTCTGTTGGTTGGTATCAAGTTGATATTAAACTTTCTTAAAGAAATGTAACAAGACCAGTCTTTCTGCAGTAAATAGTGACTCAGTTTGGTACCTGAGGGGTGTCTGACTGACAGGTGGCTGTTTTCCAATAATCACATTTGTGTGGGTTTTCTGTGGAAAGTGCTTACGGTAATGCAGTTCTGCGCATGAACAGTCAAATGAACTTCTTGGTATTATTGCACAGTACATCTTCAGTGAATGTACAACAACAATATCAGATCTGTGCATTAGGATCAACCTAACAGACCTGCCACCTGTCTATTATTATCATTAATATTAACCAAACAACCATATCAATAAAAAATACATTTTAATTAACTTCTTTAATTACCTACTGTTCATATGAAAAAAATAAACAACTTAAAAAACTTTAAAAGCAACTTGCAAAATAATTGAGAAAAACTTGAAAATGACATGCCAGTTTTAATGTTATTTGTTAACTTAAATAAATAATAATAATAATAATAATAAATCTGGCTGCCTGTTTTTGATCCTGTCAGTAACATGCTTGTCTCAGTGATTAAGACACGCTGGAGTAATTGCAGAAATAAGTGTAATTGAAAAAAGTGTGTAATTGAAAAAAGTGTACAAATTGTTTTAACTATTAATTTTCTTATTTATTAAGAAAATGAATGCACAAAAAATGAAAGACATGATATCAAAACATCACTATATTATTATATAAATCACACTATATTAATGGCACAGCTTAATAGGACATTTATTATAATGGGTATATGTAAACATTGTTTTAAGTTCATGCAAATTAAACATTATAATATTTTTTTTAAAACGATGTCACAAATTTTACTGTAATGTTTTATGGCTATATTTACTCTTTTTATCCCCAGAAATTGATTAAAATATATGTGGGCGCATCAGTTTTGAGTTTTGGTATCGGTGATACTTGACTTTATTCTTATTTCACACTAGAAAAATATATTAAATATACAGTCTTTATATTGTTTTAACATTCATTTGGCGATTCAGTGGCAAACTATAATTATGATTACAAATTGTAATGTTAGGTGTGACTAATCAGGATTTACTACAGAAAAATCTAGCGTAGCGTTACTTCTGGCAGGTCACGTTAGTCAAGCTCGCATCAGCTGACTTTCAGCTGATCCCCATCTACCTATGGGAATACGACACCTATCTAAGCATTCATATATAAGGTCCCTCAGTATTATCAGCAGTTTTCGCATTGCTCAATAGCTAATTACCCTCCTCCATCCCCAACTCCTCCTCTGTCAGTCAGGATTCAGCCTTCTGATTCTCCTTTGAATCAGACTAATTCTAAAATGTGTACATAACATTATTGAACTTTAATGATATCTGCAATACATTTATGTTGGTTCTGTTCTGTTTACCCTGGGGGGGTTATCGCTGCTCTCATCCATGCTAGGCAGCATGGATGCGCAGGGAGTTCTTGCCCAGAAGAGAACCATAACGCCAATCAAAACTGTATGCTAATTGTCAATCATCTTTGACGATAGTGGTCCTGACAGAAATGTCATTAATACATCAATTTGATCGATTGATGGCACCTATATAATACTATTGTGTTAACCCTAGTAGTTTGGAAGGGAACTGACCTGAGATGGCCAGCAGCATTTTCCTGCGGGCTCCGAATGTAGTAATGCCGAGCTCTTTCAGGTCCTGATCGGTCAGTGTGAGGAATGTCTGAAGGTCAATCTGAGAAACAGACACAAACTGTATTTTTAGTTTGGACTTAAATTATTGTGGGGAGAAAGAGGAACAATGAGATAACGCATGACAGTCCAGAATCAAACCTGCGTCTAAGTGCATGTGCACTGACCACTGCACCACGGCTCTCTCTCTAACTTTCTGATGATATGTTTAAAAGATAAAAGCCAGAACCAAATTTTAGACTCCACAATGTTATCTCTGGCATCTTGCAATACAAGACTTGGCATAATGTGTGAATTACAGATCTTAGTTTTTGGCTATTCTGAGGGTTTCAGTTCTGTGCTGGAAGTTGCGTCATTGTAACCTTAGGCCAGTTTGACAGCATACATGCCAGCGAGATAGAGCTGTCACACTGACAGCGCTCCACACAGAAAATAAAGTCATCTCTGGGTCACTACGTTGAATATTTCTTCTAATAAAAGGAATAAAACTGGAGTTAATCATTAAGAATTGTTACAGACCTGACTGTCCAATATATATGAGAAATGGAAAATTGACATCCAAATTTTTCAGACTCATTAATCTGTGGAACTTGCATCAAGTCAAATGTGTTTATTCAAAAAATGAGTTAGCTGTTCACTCCAGTATTTCATGTTGCTTCATAAAAGCCTATTTTGCCAAAGTGCATTTTCAGCATGTTTTCTACTGAGTTCTGCGCACTAAAACATGTGCAGCTAAAATAGGTTAAGTGCTGAAAGACCTAAGACATAAAAACAACCTCCCAGTGACAGAAATCATCTAAAATCATTTACGTGTTCTCATTTCAAACAGCAACACTAATAGAGAAGATATCGGCAGCTCTGTTTGTACCTCCTGCTGTTGGAAGACGTCGGTATATTTCCCGAGGCCAAGTTTACTGAAGAGCTCAGGCAGATCTGATCCTTTGAAAGATGTGTTGAGATTACAGCCATTAGTTCCCGTAACCGACGAGATGCAGTCCATGTAGTTGCTGCTGCTTAGGCAGTGCTCTAATACAAAAAAAAAACGTAAAAAACATGATTACCAGTGTTTACCAGGTTACCAAACTTTACACTTAAACCAGTGAGTTGCCTTCCTAAACAGCATTTTTAAGGCTTCACAGATACTTTGGTTTGGCCAAACTGCATTCATAACCTTGTGAAAAAGAAGTGTACTTATTATTTTTAGATAATAGTGTAATAAAAGTAGTGTACTTAATATTTTTTAAAACTGCACTTGCAGATATTATAATATTAATGAAATAAAAGGCCACTTAAGTACTAGAGTACTGTAGAACACACTTAAACATTTAAAAAGTGCACTTTGCAATAATGTCAAATTAAAAGGTTTACTTTTTAAGTACATTTTAAATAATTGTTTTAGTATTTTTTGTGGTACTTTACAGCACACTCATTTTGATGTGTAGATGACATGAAAAGCACATGTAAAATACTTGATTTCAACTGCATTTTAATTTTATTTTAACTGTAGTGTTGTTTAATATTACATTTAAAGTAAATATATTTTAAATGTACTAAATTGCAACTTCATCATTACAAATGACATGCAAGATTCAATAGAAATTAGATAAAGTTTTAGTCTACCATATAGTAAATGCTTGTTAGTAGATTTGTCAGTACTCATATTTCAGAGTCAATATAATATAAAATATCACAGCTCAGTCATGCTGACTGAAGAGCACACCTGTTTTGTTCTGCTTTCTTTTTGGGCTGATGGGAGAGGGAAAGTCGCTGTGTGCTGGGAGCCCGCTCCCATTCCTTTCCCTCCAGTTATCCGAGTCACTGCCACTCGCCACCCCCTCTCTACTGTTGGAGCGGGACAGGGCTAGAGGCGACCCCTTATCACATATCAAAACACATATCATATTATGTTTATTCCACTAAAATCATGCAGTGATGCATTAATAAAAAAAATTATAATAACAAGCATATAGGCATTGCCAGAGCTAATCATCTTCAGTGAGAACACTGCAACACATTGTATACACTGAATGCACAGAATGAACTATAATCAGCATACAGCAATTCATAGAAGATATGTGCTTAGCCTATCTGCTCGAGCGCTTGAGTTTACCTCATATGTAGTTGACATGGTGGGTTTATAAGATACGTGGTTTGCCCTGCGCAACTCCTTAATAGTTTCTGCAGGCATAGACTTTGAGAAGCCCAGACCGCTCCACGTGTTAGTAGGGGTACGGACCTCCGTCACCACTGGCTTCTTTAACATGGCTGAAAATAGAAACACAGAAGATGATGTATTTAAAAAAAAAAAGTCAAATAAGGTCACTTCATTAAGAATTGTCATATTTCACCCCTAAATAGGAAAATAATTTTTTAAAATAAAATTACATTTCAAAAATTATTTTACATTATATTTTATTACATATTTATTTTATATTTATATATTAAAATTATATAATAATAATAATATATAACAATAATATTATAAATAATAATAATAATAGTAATAATAATATATGTAATATGCAAAATAAGTCTTAAATCGCTGGGGTATATTTGTAGCAATAGCCAAAACTACATTGTATGGGTCAAAATTATATATTTTTCTTTTATGCCAAAAATCATTAGGATATTAAGTAAAGATCATGTTCCATGAAGATATTTTATTATATTTATTATGCAATATAATTTCACTTTTTTACATGTATCTTGTTAATAAAAGATATTGCCATGGTATATAACTAAGTACTTTACCAAAAATCTGAATAAATATTTATTACATTAATTTTATTTTTAAAATATATTTATCTGTTATTTAATTATTAATTTTAATAATATATCATTATTTTTTCCCATTACAGTAATGAGCATAATTTTGTTGTTGTTGGAGGAGGAATTGTGAAGTAATTGTCATGAAAATAATATCACAGTGCAAAATATGTAAATAGTCCTAAAACAGCTTAACTGAATTAATATACTCACAAAATAAACTTTTTTTGCTGTCAATTTATGGTGAAACATGACCCGCCTGGTATTCAATAACATGAATGTTATTGGTGTTTTTTGTGAGGTGTAGGAATCAGGAATTATAATTAGTTGATCAAGAATTTGATGCCAAATTCCCCTGCACTGTGCTAAATCGGTCAAAACCCAGACAACTTTAAAGGCGATTTTCTCAATATTTTGATTTTTTTTGCACCCTCAGATTCCAGATTTTCAAATAGTTGTATCTCGGCCAAATATTGTCCGATCCTAACCAGCCATACGTCAATGGAAAGCTTATTTATTCAGCTTTCAGATGATTTATAAATCACAATTTTGAAACATTGACACTTAAGACTGGTTTTGTGGTCCAGGGTCACATATAATTAATTATTATATTTATTATGCAATATAATTTCACTTTTTTACATGTATCTTGTTAATAAAAGATATTGCCATGGTATATAACTAAGTACTTTACCAAAAATCTGAATAAATATTTATTACATTAATTTTATTTTTAAAATATATTTATCTGTTATTTAATTATTAATTTTAATAATATATCATTATTTTTTCCCATTACAGTAATGAGCATAATTTTGTTGTTGTTGGAGGAGGAATTGTGAAGTAATTGTCATGAAAATAATATCACAGTGCAAAATATGTAAATAGTCCTAAAACAGCTTAACTGAATTAATATACTCACAAAATAAACTTTTTTTGCTGTCAATTTATGGTGAAACATGACCCGCCTGGTATTCAATAACATGAATGTTATTGGTGTTTTTTGTGAGGTGTAGGAATCAGGAATTATAATTAGTTGATCAAGAATTTGATGCCAAATTCCCCTGCACTGTGCTAAATCGGTCAAAACCCAGAAGTTTTACATTAAACGGTGTGCCACATTTCCATACAGTTCCAACATAAATCATTAACAAAGAACTATTTACATTATGCGGGCAAGAAGAGTGTTAACACTGGGTACATTCCTCATTCTCAGGTCCTTAGTTTACATTATGAACGCTGGACACAGTACGTGAGGTGTGGAGAAGCTTTATGAGGCAGAGTATATTTACCGTAAACGTGAAACAGGACTTTAATGACACCCTACTCACTGCCAGACATTCAGCCTATGAAGACACTGTAGTCCTGCTTTGTTCATTGCTGGCACACTAGACTAAACACAATCGGTTTCCAATTCCCCCAACAGCCTACCAGCAGAATTGTTTTTGACAATATAGATGGGTGGGAGACACTCTTTAAGGCTCTGTATATAGCTTTAACTGTGATTTGATTTGTCAAGCACATACCTTTGGTTGCCAATAACTTCTTTTGCTCGTAGTCGAACGCCTGTAGAGGTGAACAGAGAGAAAGCAAAGAATGTTTAGGCTGTTTGGAGGGATTTAAGAATCATGTCCCTCATTTCTCCTGTCAGCTTGGTTTATAGAATGAGAAAGGCAAATGGTAAACATTGCCTCATTCTGTCAAAACCATTTAACAGACTGTTACGAACAGAATAGTGACGACTTTCTGTTGTTTCAGAAACATGGCATTGTCTTGAGAGGCAGGGCTTGAGATCACAACACAGACGGAACATATAGTACCTGTCAAAAGTTTGGAATAGGTATTTTTTTAAATATATACTGTATATATATTTTTTTTTTGAAAGAAGTCTCTTATCCTTACCAAGGCTGCATTTATTTGATCATAAACAGTAAAAACTATAATATTTTGAAATATTATTCCATCTTAAAATGTTTTCTATTGTAATATATTTTAAAATATATAGTTCAGTCATGAAACTCTAGATGGCGCATTCTGACGGGGTGTTAACTTAATTCATGATATTCAGAGAGTTAAACAACTTGGCACAAGCTGATTGGTTCATGCTGCATATGCAGCCAATGAGCTTACTGCCTTGCATTTGTATGGCTGGCTAGCATTCACTAGAGATCTCTGAAACCCTCCACCTTCCCCAGCTCCACCTGTATAGATCTGCTATGGGGTTATTTTATATGCTATTTGTGCAGCAGCAGTATGTCTTAAATACTCATGGCACCGTATCGCCATATGCATTGGCAGTAGCAAGTTCCTGTACTTGCTTGCAGCAGCAGCAATAATTTACAACTACAGCAATAACCAACAGCAGCAGCAATTCAGCAGCAGTGTAGCAGATCTGTTCCGCCAAGACCAAATACATCAACATTGTCACATCCATCACCATGCTAAAATGTTCAGAGAGTTGTCATGATTGAAATATAATTTATTCCTGGAAACCATGAAACACTACCATTCAAAAGTTTGGCATAAGTAAGAAAAAAACATTTTTAATTCACAAGGATGCATTAAATTGATCAAAAGTACAGTAAAGATATTTATAATGTTACAAAAGTTCAATTAAATGCTGTACCTTAAAACTTTTTATTCATCGCAGAATCCTGAACAAAAAGTGTCATGGTTTCCCACAAAAAATATTAAGCAGCAAAAACAGTTTTCAGCATTGATAATAATAAGAACCATTATAAATAATTGATCGTGAGTAATTGTTAATAATAACTAAGCAGCAAATCAGCATTTTAGAATGACTTCTGAAGGATCATGTGACACTGAAGACTTGAGTAATGATGCTGAAAAATCTGCTTTGCATCACAGGAATAAATTACATTTTAAAATATAAACAAAATAGAAACCAGTTCTTTTAAATTGTAATAATATTTCACAATATTATTGTTTTTGATCAAATAAATGCAGCCTTGGTGAGCATAAGAGACTTCATTTGAAAAACATTAAGAATTTTAATTATTCCAAACTTTTGACAGGTAGTATATTATTTCAATAAGGGATGTTACTGAAACGATGAAAGCTAATTGAGATAATGATGGCTGCTCTATTCATTCGATAATTGTCTTTGGAACTAAAGGGAAGCACTATGACTGAGTTTATAAGTAACTTTAAGAGTTCACTACCTGCATGTTGGAGAAGGAGGATTGGTGCGGCAGGCGGATTCTGTCTGAATTCTGCTGAGCGGCCCGTTCGGCTGCTCTTTCACTGCCTGGAGCGCGTTTATCAGCCACCGGACTCTCCGAGGCACTGGAGTCAGAGTCTGACAACAGACAGTCTGAACTAGACGGGTAAAAGAGTAGATAAATAGAACAACTAGGTTTAATCACATGCTGCATTAGTGGCTAACTCTAACATCGACTAGTGATTGACTGTTGAGGAATTGTGTGTGTGTTCATACTGTAGGAGGGAGTTCTTGGTGCCCTGAAGCAGCTCCAGGGCTTGCCTCTTTCCTGACGTCGTCTTACAAGATGCCAACATCTGCTTCAGTTCATTGCTGTTTCCCGAGTGAGAGGGGCTTCGAGGCATGCCCACCTCCACGAACGTATCCGATCCTGAAACACACACACGTACACATAAACGAAACAGTGTTATTCTTTCCTCAAGCCCCCATATTGAACGCTTTAGTTGAGTAGTTTGAGATTGTATTCCTGCAGCACTCAGCATCAGAGAATCTAACACGAGCAAAAACAGACTGACTAAATGGATGTTAGGCCAACTCAAACAGCTTTAACAATGCTGGAGCACGGAAAACCTTGGCCTTGTATTTCCACAGATGCCCCGTTCAGAGAGCAGGAAGGAAAGGTATAATAAGTTGGAACTGAGTTTATATTTATCCATAATTAGACTGACCAAAGTCAATAAATTCTCGCTTTCAATCTAGAGAAGGTCGAGGAGTTGTTTCAAGTGCTAATCAAACGGTTGACATAATTCAGCGGTGAATGTCACTGGTTGCATTAGGCTGCAATAAAGGAGAGTATAATATATCTTTCAATTAATGTAGCCTTGGAAAGTGGCATGCATGAAATGTTGATTCACATGGCAGACATTGCAGTACAAATTAAGCTTGCTGGCATTTACCAGATAAAATAACTAAATTCTGACATATGTCAGGGATCAGTCTTGCAGAATATGCCATCACACTTGACTGACTTTAAAGGTTTTTTTTTTTTTTTTTTTTGCAAAAAAATAAAATAAAAAAATAAAATAATTGCAGAAAAAGAATAAAATTAATAAATAAAATGTTTATTTGATCAGAAATACAGTAAAAACAATAATATTGTGAAATATTAGGATTTAAATAAGATTTTTTAAACTGATTTAACTGATTCTTTGATAAATAGAAAGCTCAAAAGAATATTTATTCTAATTTATTTGAAATATAAATATTTTTTAACATTATAAATGTCTTTACTGTCACTTTTATCCATTTGATGTGTGCTTGCTAAATAAATTATTATAAAAAAAAAAACTGGTAGTGTGTATATGTATAAAAAATCTTGGTAGTGTGTATATGTATAACAATTTAAAATTATTAATATTAATATCTTACAATTAGTTTATTTTTCTGATCCCATTGGAAACGTTTTATTTTATATTAAGCATTTTTTTTTACTAAGAAAAAAGAAAATTACTTGTCAAGAAATTGATTTTTGCAGTGCAGAGAAATGCGTCTTGTAGTGAGGATATAATGAGGAGCTGTGGATAATGCAGACCTTGGTCTTGGCTGGATTTGTTGGACAGCGGTTCAGAAGGGCAGTGGGGACTGGCTTCCTGTACAGAGTCGCCATGAGCTGCGGTCAGAACTTTATCTGCCATTCTGCTGTACATGGTCCTGGGCTGCTACACAACACACATGCACACAATATTCTGGTCAAGAGGAAGTCAAAGAAGACTAACCATGAGATATATACACAACATTAGCATAATTATATGACATTTTTAACATAACTGTATATCATCTCATGATGGTGAAAGAATACTTGCTCACTTTGCTACTAAGGGAGCACACAGCTTTACTGCAGTCTGATACTCCGTTGACTTGGGCGTCTATGGGGGCAAGACCAGGCGGAGGGGACGGAGTGTTCTGGGTGTAGCCCGGCACCCCTGACAGCAAGATGCTGGTTAGAGTGGCCTGGGTGGCTGGGTGGATCATCAAGGGCGATGAGAAACCTAATAAATAAAATTGTTTAGTTTGAAAGACCTTTTACTATTGTATAATACAATTCTAACATTAAATATAATATATAATACAATATAATATAATATAATATAATAATGGACTGTGTTCTAAAAAACAACAATGTGAATGTAAAGTGGACTGAGACTCTAGAGAAACATTCCTATTATATAATAAAATTCCAACATTAAAAAATAAAATAAAATAAAATAGAATGGGTTCTAAATAACAATGTGAATGTAAAGTGGACTGAGACCCTATCACAACTAAAGTAATCCACTTTCAAGTTCAGGTACATTGTTGTTTTATTTCAAGATAATGTAAGTGTGAACATATGAGATGATGAATCCATACAAAGTGTGTTTGTTTGTGGAGGAAGTCTGTCAGCCTTCTCCTTACCTGGAGTGCTGGCAGGACTGGCCAGTGAGTTGGGCCACAGATTGGGGCAAGGTGTTCCAGAGGTGGATGTATGTAATGGGCTGATGGAGCTGTTGAGAGCGTTGAGAAGGGAGTTGGTGGAAGGTAGTGTCATGGAGGCTGCCGTAGGTCCCAGAAGACCTACAGGTCAGACAAAAAATATGAGACAATAAACCATAAACACAATTTCAACATAAGACATATCCTGAACACTTAAAGAAATAGTTCAGAAATGAAAATCTGCAGCAAATCTACTTACTCTTAGGCTGTCTAAGATGAATGGGAGTTTTTTTCTTAATCAGAACAGTTTTTGAAAAATTCAGCATTACATCACTTGCTTAGCAATGGATCCAGCAGCAGTGAATGGGTGCCATCAGAATTAGAGTCCAAACAGTTGATTTATTACAAACATGCAGCTTTTCACTTCACAAGATGTTAATTGATGGACTGGAGTGGTGTGGATTACTTGTGGATTATTGTGGTGTTTTTATCAGCTGTTTGGACTCTCATTATGACGGTACCCATTCACTGCAGAAGATCCATTGGTGAGCAAGTGATGGAATGCTACATTTCTCCAAATCTGTTCAGATGAAGAAACAAACCCATATACATCTCGGACGGCCTGAGGGTGAGCAAAGTTTAATTTTTGAAAGCACTTACTGTGCAAGAAGTACATCTCATTCAGCTGTTCAGGTAATGTAGTGTTAATTTTGCAAACAAATTTTAACCTAATTTTAGTGATTTAGACTTTAAAGAAATTAAATTCTTTTAATTTTAGGCACATTTTAGCAGGGAGACAGAAATAATAATTGATTTAGTCCCCCTACTTTTTTGGGGGGGAAAAAATCTTAATTTTTACTATTTTTACTCATCTTTGGTGCAAAGAAAAAAATGCAAAACTCATGTAAAACTACAACTTCAGAACCATGCAGAAGTCTAAGCCAACTGGTTTAGTCGGCAGAACAAGCAATAGCATAGTAAGTGGAAGTGGTAATCCTGTTATGCTTTGCACCCACTTACATGCCTTTCAGCTAAACAATTAGGACTACTGGGAGTATGTTGCATAACCTCATTAATATTCACAAGTCAAGCTGACAATATGTCCCCCTCACTTTTTGTATTGTTCCCACACCCCTGCATTTTAGACTTTTGAATACGGTGAAGTGTTCTCCAATTTCAGTCCACAAAAAAAAAAAAAAAAAGATTCTTTATGAAAACTGAATCAGATTTATTTATTTAATTAAACTCAAGTTGATTAGAAGACTAGATGTACTTTTATAGCCACGGGAAAATAAATGTACTCTTTCCTTACCCAGGCTGGTGAGGCCGAGGCCGGCAGAGGCCAGGATGTCGAGGCCAACAGGGCAGCTGAGAGGTGGAGGTAGAGCAGGGCCAGATGGAGGACTGCTGCTGTTACTGCTGGTGATGCTGCTGGTAGGGACTGATACACCACTGCTCTCCAAACCCAACAGATAACGCCTGGCCTCATACATGTTCAGAGCGTTCCTCTCCACACTCTTCACTATCACTGACTGACAGCCCAGACAAAAGAGATTTACAGTTTAGAAATCAGCCCCTGTCCACTAGTAGGTGCTATATTTTATTAGTACTGTGTTTGTTCGGTGTCATTCAAAAAATAACAACAGCAGAAGTTGTTTCAACAACAACAGAATAATTAGTTCACACCAAAGACTATAACTTTAGCGATAACAATAATGATAAAGTTGTAAAAATCGTTCTCAATTTAAACTATATCGATAACGGCGCAGATGAACAATGTTGTTGGAATCAGTTTCAAAGTGATTTTTTCCCACTCTTCTAGTGTTGGCATAATCAGTATTTTTTGCCATTGTAGTGCAGAATGGCACCATTATGAATATAATGTACTTGGTGTTTCCTTTTAAAGAGAGTTTTTTTAAATTATTATTATTTTGACCACTTATTGTGGATGTTAAAGGATCTGCAGAGTAGAAGGTGCTACACACAGCAAGAAACAGAACATGGTTTGGTGAACTTTACCATACTTTACTTTTATCATTAGTTATTTTATTGACTGGGAGTTTCTGCTGCTTAGATTCAATAGATGGTCTTTTTTTTCAATAGGAAGTCAATTCTGATTTCAGTATGTTTTAAAGTTACTGTATGTTTTCAGTTAACATCAAGTTCTTTTATTTCAAAAGATCAATGAAAGTGTTACTTCTCATTATCCCTTTAATTCATGGAATACGAGTTTGAGGTCGTAAAGATCTATTAGTGGTGAACTTGCTGAACTAAAATGAATCTGAGAGTGGAGATTTTCTGTGGCTGTACTTAAATTCTACATGTCCTCGTATTTCCCTCTCAATTGGTAGTTTATACAGTACTTCCTTCTTAGCATATGTGCTGTATATACTAGTCAAGGCTACTACTGTAGCAAACTATTAGCAGAGTGAAAGAAGAGAAGCCAGAGGCATCAACACAAATCACTGAAATTTATACTAAGACTGATAATTTACAGTGCTGCCATTCAGCCTAAAACACAGGATAGGATTTCACTCTTGACCATGACCAAGGATGTGAAGCGTTCCCAGTTTCCACATACTGCTAGTAAGCCACCCGCAAATCCCATACGTTCCATACATTACTTCTACAAGACTAGGCGTCTTAATTTTAAGCCTCTGAAAGAACTAGGCCTTAATGCTTGATCTGAGGATTCAAGGTGTCTTACATGGTGCCATCAAAAATCTGGAGACTTAATCCACACTTAAAAATGTACGAATGTACTTATATTACACTACCGGGACTACTGGGGTCGGTAAAATGTTGTAATGTTTTTGAAAGTCTCTTATGCTCACCAAAGCTGCATTTATATGATCAGAAATATAGTAAAAATAGTAATATTGTGAAACATTACAACTTAAAAAATTGTTCTATATGAATATATTTTAAAATGTAATTTATTATGTAATGTAATTCCATTACTCTAGTCTTCAGTGTCACATGATCCTTCAGAAATCATTCTGATCATTTCCTATTATCATCAGTGTTGGATATGCTACTTCATAGTTCTGTGGAAACTGTGATACATACAAGATTCTTTGATGAATAGAAAGTTCAAAAGCAGCAATTATTTGAAATATATACAAGCAACATTTTCAAAAATATATGTACACTGTAAAAATGATTGTGATTTTAATGATAAAAGACTAAAATGTTATGATAAAAACCTGTAAATTTGTTAATAATATGTTTCCTTTATCTGGTGAATAACTATTTAACTGTAATAGATCTAACCTTACATTTAATAGAATTTTACAGTAAAATACTGTTACATTCACAGTTTTTGGAAGTGAAAAAGAACAGATATCATATAATTTACAGTGAAAAACCATAAATTGACATTACAATGTTTCTCCTGCATGACACTTCACATTTGATGTTTTTTTTTAAAATAACTCTATTTTTTGTTTTTTTCTTATCAGTTAGTTATATTATGTTTTATGTTACATCTATCTATCTATCTATCTATATATATATATATATACATATATATATATATATATATGTATTCAAACACACACACACACACACACACATTTAATATTTTGTTATAAATGTTACATATTTTTTGTAAAGGTCTGGCAACCACAGCTGCCATTAGTTTACCGTGAATTTCACCTTGAACTTGAGGAGAACTGACTTCATGCATCCACTAAAAATCCCCTTGCAAAAATGGCTCAAAAAACAGAAAGTAAGTTCTGAGAAAAGCTCAGAGTGTGACATCCAAAAGTATCCACCACCATATGCGATAAATGTTGCATATGTACTGTAAGGTTGGGTTTAGGTCATGTAAATATCTTTGAGTTTGTGGCTGTGAGTGTGCAAACCTTGCTAGGTTGCTTGGGTTTGGGTTTGACACTAATGAACACATCAAGCTGTTCCGTTAGGGAAGTAATGCACTGCGGTTCCACCTCGATGTCCTCTTTGATATCAAACATCAGCACCAGTGGCAGGCAGCCCTGCAGAAAGCACAAGGAAGAAAGCGAGAGAAAGAAATAAACAAAGTTTTTCTACACCGTTGTAAATCATTCATACAGTCGAACTTTAAGTGTTTCAAGGACTCTGTTGGCCTCGGTCCTAAAGCAGCTAAGCTACAGTTATTCAGCAGTGATCCATCACCTACTTCTCATGTTGAAAAGAAAAACAGCAGCAGGTACTCCAGGCGTAAGGCTTTCATTTTACTGGGCCTTGACCTTCTTTTTCCTCTCCCGACACAGCTAACTCAGCAGGCAGTGAAGAAACTGCTACATATGCAGGAAAAGTTCTAGAGCCTATTTGTGTGGTGGGAAGCCTGCTATGACAGTCATAATTGTGAATGCTAAAAATGTCCTTAATGGATCTAAATTGAGCCAAAAAACTGTGAATAAATTATTCTTGAGTACTGTGTCTTCCCTTGGCCTCCAGCTGAGTGTTTAAATCAGGACTTGCGGGGACAGACGGGCTGATATCTGTCTCCAGAGAGAACCGCAGTGTGGTGGAGGGCTAATTATTTTGCTTTCAGAGCGAGGAAATGCTCTCCACTTGTGTGTTCCTCAAAAGAATCGTGTTTTTCTTCTGGTGCCCCTGCCTTTGTCAGTTTAATATTCTTCTGTGTTGGTTGGAGACCATTAATTTGAAAAGGACCACCACATAATGAGACAAACCAGAGTTGCTATTTGTAATGGCTTGAGGGAAGATGAGATGAGATTAGATGAGAGTAGAGAGAAACTAAAGCTTCACATTTTCTGAAGAAAATACATGCTCGCCTCATGCAAAATTCAGCTTGATAACATTTGTAATAAATTCTAAGGTGTCCTGGGTTGTTGTTAAGGTTTACTTTGCGGTTGCTAGGTAGTTAGGTGGCTATTTACTGGAAAACAAAACTAAAAAAACAAAACATTTTTAACAGTAGTTTTCATTTCATAAAAAAAAGAAACCAAAAAAATCAACTTTAATAATCAACACTCAAATAAAAACAAAAAAGTTGTATATATATATTATATTGTTTACAAGCTGTAAATTAATTTGATCAATGATTTTGGCCCTGTACATTTGTTTTGTTAGAAACCGAAAATTTAATTTTTGGCCAAATATTTTTGGTTGTAAAAATTTCAGTGCATTGCTATCAATTCTCATAAAAAATGTCAAATTATCTGATATTTTAAGATATTTATTGACCTTCACACAAAGTCATGAGGGTCTGCAGGGGTCCTCTCTATGATATCATTCCTATTTATTTATTTATTTATTTTTTTACATTGATAAATCAGGACAAACAAAATAAGCATTATGTCATAGACCCTATTACTGGAAAACAAGAGTAGAACAGTAAAAAGAAAATGAGTCGCTGCGCTGCAAGTGTGGAATTTTTTCACCCATTTTTTGCCCAACAAGTCTGAATGCTTAGAAAAAATCGTACACTGTTCCTCAACAAGGTGCATGATTTGGGGCATCATTCATGTCAGTAGCACAAACGCTGTGGGATGAGAAATAAAGAACAAAAAAATCTCTCACCATCAGGTACTGGCGAGCCAGACACACAGAGTCAATGGTTCCCTGCACGTAGACGGTGGATTTCTTCTGCGGGCAGTTTGGGTCTGGGAAGTGGACCTGCGCTCCTGTGCGCTGCATGATGTGCTTGATGTTGCTGCCGTTGCGGCCCATCATGAAGAGGTGGTGCTGGGGCGCGATGTCAAGCTGTGTGCTGACTGTGATGGCGCTGGCCAGGCTGCCCACGAGATGCTCCAGTAACACTGCTGTGCCCCTCTGCAACGAAGCCAGGGTTGGAAATTAACGGGGACATAGGGCAAAAATGCCACTGTTATCATTGTAAATTTTAAGATGAATTGTAAGATGTTAACTCACAACTGCAAGTTTATAACTTAAAATTGCAAGATATAAACTCACAATTATGAGATGACAAGTGAATTTGTGAGATGTCAGCTCATAATTGCGAGAAAGAAAGTGACTTTTGAGATAAAAGGTTACAATTACCTTTTTAATTTTTTTTTATCCAGTGGCGGAAACAAGCTTCCATAGTTTTGTTTTTATGCTATTAAGATGTTAAGGTTTGATTTTATAATCCATAATGCCATGTCAGATGCAGCTTCTGTGTAAAGATTAATTTTGTTGATCAAATTTTATTGGTAACAGTCTATAGTTTTCTTATTGATGGAAGTAATTGTAATAGTAAAGTATTTGACATAAAAGACAACACATACATTTAATAAGGTAATTATAAAAATTGCCCTTACAAAGGTAAAAAAAAAAAAAGAAAAAATAGTTTTTCACACTAATGGAGCATATTTTAGTAAACAAGAACCTCTTTATGTTCTTGCTTTTCCATCTGGCATATACAAACCTGAGAATGACCTAGATTGGGGAGTTTCTTTCAGCACGCCATAAAACTAGGGGAAGAGAGGAAAGGCAAAGGGGCTCTTTTGGGGTTCCTTTCTGGCCGTGTTCGTAGGCGGTTTTGGCACGGAACTCCTCACTCCAGCTCTTAACACATACCAGGCATAGCCAGCAGCCCACAGGACAACTAAAGCCCTATACCCTTCCTCAAGACCAGAGATGGAAGAAGATTCTCCTTGGGAAGAATAGCAGGCTCTTCCCACACTAGACCCTCAGTCTAAAGTGTTGCCGGCAGTCATTAGCACAACATGAAGAGTTCAGCGCCACCGGCAAACACCACAGACACACAGAGATCAAAGGTTGTGTAGGTGTGTGCTGGAGGATTTACTGTGATCTTTTCTGGAGCTAATGAGGATGTTCCCTTTAGGAGATGAAAGTGCTTTCCAAACATATTACCCCATAGGAATATTATGAAGGTAAATTGAAGACTTTTTAAAGACCTTTTTAAGACAAAGTCAATATGTTCTCTCAATGTAAATGAGCTGCACACAATGAGTTGCATTAGCAATACTTCAAAATTTCTAAATACAACTTTGTGCTGATCTCTTTAATTATGCAATTAAAAATTAATGGAGAAATAATGGAATAACTGATTTAATTGATCAAAATGAAGTGAGTTTATGATAAAAAAATAACAAATATCCACAAATGGACTTTACAGATATTTGTTCTTGTTTAAAAACAAACAAACAAACAAACAAAAACAATTTTGAATTCATATCTTCATTTTGCATCTAAAGTAAATGTATCTTAATTTAAGGACGTTTAGATATTTGTACTGGAAAACAAGACAAAAATACTGAGGAAGATATACATTTTTAGCAATGCATGCAACATTTTATGCCCTTTTTAAAACCTTTTTTAAGTCTTATTTTGTGGAACCTTGAAATTAGACTTTTAGGCCCTCGGAAACCCTCATATTTTTCTCATAGAAATCAATCTGCTTCTCAGATTTTCGTCCTGAGAAAAAACTCTAGTAATCTCACACGTATCCCAACGTATCCCAAATAAGATATCTCAACGTCACACAGTGCCCAATAGCCTTATTCTATGACAACTATCTTTAGTCTGTTGTTTCTAGTTTTAGTCATTTTAAGAGAACTATCTGAAACAAATTTAAATTCTTTTTTTGATTAAAATATTTTTTGACAAAACAAGCAACAACAAAAACTTTACACACTATCAATAATCAACACTTTCACATATGTGATCCTGGAGCACAAAACCAGTTTTAAGTCGCTGGGGTATATTTGTAGGCAACAACAAAAACTTTACACACTATCAATAATCAACACTTTCACATATGTGATCCTGGAGCACAAAACCAGTTTTAAGTCGCCGGGGTATATTTGTAGCAATAGCCAAAAATACATTG